CACTCTTCTCTGAGTCGTTACTCATAACAGTCGTGTTTTACTTCACATGGCAAGTCCGGCAAACACTAAGTCAAGTTTAAAAATTGTTAAAATGATTCAAAGTTAAAAATTAATAAAAATGAGATTAAATGATAAAATGGCACAAAACAAGTCATTATTTGGTATATTCGACACAACGACAATAAAATCAACACCAGTGAGTGAACAAAATCAAAATAATAAAAATGACAATTTAATGTACATTGAAACATTATTAATAATAATTACAATTCAATTATTAATTATAATAACATACAAAGTATTCAAAGCGTGTAAAAAAGGTTATGAAATGCACAACGACAGTATAATTCGTCGACATCAAAGTGATAACGCATTAGACAATATATGACAAAAAGTGAGAAAAAGCACAAAAATGAGTGAGAAAATAATATTAACACAACAAGAACTAAATGAAATATATAACGATACTTTAACAATATTAGTGGACAATATCATCGAAAAAACGGAATTAAATAATATACATACAGACTTTGAAGAAATCGCAAAAATACAAATAAAAACTTTATTAAAAAACAAATACAATGTGCAAGAAAAAATGATCGAAAGTATAGACATAAATATGGCAAAATTAAAAGAAATACAAAGAGAAATGAGCTAAAATGAGTTTAAATACAAACAGTCTTGCAGTGTTGCACGCAAAAGTGCGAGAAGCATTAAACAAAAACGATATAAATGAATTAGATTACTACCATTGCTTTATAAACTTCGCAGAAACACATGAAATGATAAAATATTTAAGAAATAATAGAAACCAAGAACAAAGACAACGTATTAGCTTACTAATTTCATATTTAGAAGGAAAAATGGACCACTATCAAAGAGAAATGTCAAAACACAATATAATATATCACGATCAAGATTAACAAAATGAACGACGAAGAAAGAAAATTGTGGACACATAAAATAAGGCAAAGACAAGTAGAACGCAACATAAAAGAAAACATAAAATCACAAGTGATATTAATGATCAGAGAGTACGAAGAGCACATAAAAAACAATGAAGGTCTTTTAATTCATGTACGAAATATCGCAACAGAAAAAATACTTAAAACAAAACTATTCACAAATCATAATATTAGAATAGCAGTGAACGAGGAATTAATAAAAGCACTATATAAAACAAATTGTGAGCTACACACAAGATTACAAAAATGCAAAAATAAAAAACAGAGAGAAAAATATTTAAATCACAAAACTGACAAAACACATAATAAAATATGAATATTTAAAAGCCATAAAATAAAAAGTAATAAAATCTGAAGTCGTAAAAATAAATTAGAAAAACATAAAACGAGCGCAACAAAATCAATCAACTAACAATAAACGCAGCGAAACAGCGGACAACACACAAAGGAGGACATATCAAACGCACCGCAACAATGGACAACACAAATGATCAACAACAAAAACATCGTAAAACTGAGTAGTACAACACAACGAAGAGAGCTACAACGAATGGATCAACAAGCAAACAACAGATAAGCGAAAACAAGAATTCATATATTTTAATTTCATGCATATTTAAATAAATATGATAATAAGCAAGATCGTAAAATAAAAATCAATTAATAAACAAAGCCGTAAAATGAAAAAGTAAAAATTATTAGCTAAGGAATTTTAAACATGAAATGTTTAACACTGACGCATATTATAAACTCTTATTCGAATTTAAAGTAATCGAAAAGTTAATAAACAGAAAAAATGCATCACAAAATAAATTGAAAAGAACAGAAAGAACAAAAATTATTTTAAACGCATATAATAATATAATTCGATATATAGATAAAGAGGTAGACGAAGAGATTAGCGAAAACGATAAAATCAATTTGCATACGGATATAATAAATTTAAGAAAAAGATTGAAAAAAAGCCTAAAAATATTGGAAAGAACAGACATAATAGTCCCAGAAAATTTTACAAAAGAAATAATATATTTTGATGAAAAAGCGGCAAATTCAAAAGAAATGGCTTTAACAAAAATCGAATATTATAATTTATGTGCACGCACAATAAGCAATGTATACGAAGGAGATTCATTGGGGCTTACACCGTTCATAAAATCGATTGAATTATTACAAGGACTGGACGTAAACCAACAATACGAAAACACATTGAGAGATTTCATCTTAACAAAATTGAAGGGAATTGCAATTGAATCAATGCCACCAGAACCGACTATACAAATAATAAAAGATACTTTGAAACAGAAAATAAAACCCGATAACAGCAAGGTAATTTCAGGACGAATGATGGCAATTAAAGCAGACAGAACTAATATGACAGAATACGCCAAACGTGCAGAAGCACTGGCAGAACAATTAAAGAGATCACTCATACTAGAGGGAATCCCGTCCGAAAAGGCAAACGAAATGACAATAGACAAAACTATTGATTTATGTAGAGCCAACACATCTTCATCTATCACAAAATCAATATTAACTGCTAAAAAGTTTGAAGATGCAAAAGAAGTAGTAGCTCAATTCGTCATCGAAACACGCACCGAAAACAATGAACAAAATGTAATGTATTACAAAACAAACAGGAATTACACGCCACAAACAAATAGAGGCTACTATCAGGACAACAACAGAAGTCGCGGTTTTCGCAAAAATTATAACAATAACGGAAATCAACGTTATCAGCAAAATCGCAGTTATCGCGGAAACAACAGATATAATGGCAATTGGCGTGGTCGAAACAACAAACAAAACACATGGCGTGGAGGCAACAATAACAATAATCGCTCAAACCGCATATATTACACGGAAAACGACCAATCCCCGCCGTCGGGGGTAGCTCAATCACAAAATGTTCAAATATTACAGGCGGACAACGAAATATAATAAAAACGAACAATAATTCACAAAACATATCAACAAAACAAATATTTACAATGAATCTAAATTTTGCAGATTATGTTGAATTTACAACAAATATTTCAAATGACAAAATATATTTTTTAGCGGATAGTCAAGCAGATATTTCTATAGTAAAAATAAATTATATAAATAAGTATATACAAATAAATACGTCAGAAATAATCGAAGTAAAGGGTGTTACTCAAACTCCAATTACATCTGTGGGATATATAAACATTAAATTAAAATTAAACAGATTTGAAATCGAACATAAATTTCATCCCAAGGAACATTCTTGTAACGATTTCACCCGTTTTTAAAGTTGACCAATGTAACGATTTCACACGTTTTATGGGTTGATAACATCTGTCGTAAATCCATTTTTACCCCCTTTAGGGATACGGTTTGGGTATATAACGGGTGTATGTTTTATGCCTAAAATATACACCCGTTATATACCCAAACTGTATCCCTGAAGAGGGTAAACATATAGATTTATATAAACATATAATTTTGTTTACGCAGAAAACAATAAATATGTATTTTAGTCCAGATTTTTATAATTTAGTATTATTTTATGGTAAAGAATCGATGTTTAAAATGTCAGACATAAAGTTGATAGTTTTCTTTACATAATGTATTCCTGCAGATTTTGTAAACAATGCGGAATTGTATGTAGAAATTTTAACCGAAGAATATTTGAGTAATAACAAAACATATTCCTGAAAATAAAACATGCAGCTCGCTTTAATAGTTGATGTGTTTTCTATCCACGAATAATAGTTCGCAAATGGAGTGGCTGTAGTGATGAACGATAAATTTTTTTTTAGTGTATGTCTAGCTGCATGATTCAATATAGTTTTCTGACATAAAGCAAAAAAATTGCGCTGCAGAACTGATAAATATCAAATAACCTACTTTTTTACTTTTTCTTTGCAAAACCTCTAACCTAATCTAATCTGTCAATCACAAATGTCACATGAGCAATTCTTGAAAACTAATATATCTGCTAACAGTGTAGTGCACCACGGCTTACGTTGATAATTGTTTTCTTTTGTGAAGAAATAGGTTATAAATAATTTTCCTAACTATGACTAGAATTAAAAATAACTCCAGAAAAGCCAACAAAATAAGAAACCGTGTACGTAAATATAGAATGAACAAAAAAGCTGAAACTATGTACGAAAATGGAGTGAGATCATTGAGTGCATTATCAGAAACTCAATATGAAAGTGCAAATAATAACAGTGAAACAAGTCTTAGCACTCCGTTTGATTTAACAAAAAGATTAAGATTTTGGGCATTGCAACATCGGATTACGCAAGCAGCAATCAATGACCTACTATCGATTTTAATTCTTGCAGGATTTACTTTTCTACCACAAGATAGTAGAACATTGATGCAAACACCTAATATAGTTAAGATTTATGCACTGAGTGCAGGAAAGATGTGGTACCACGGAATTCGTAAAAGTCTGCAAAGTATATTCTCAAATCTTAATTGTGAACTTACATTACGTATAGATTTCAATTTTGATGGCATGCCACTCTTCAAATCATCAAAGGTCCAATTTTGGCCAATTTTGGCATCAATTCGAGGTATAGAACAACACAATGAGTAAGACTTGGTCATTCTATAGTAAAAACATTTGATTCGGTATATTACAGAATTTCCGAAAGTATTGCCTATGATCGTTGGAATTTGGTGCGGAGAAGGAAAGCCACCATTGAACGAATATATAAGACCACTCATATCCGAACTAGAAGATTTACTTGAAAATGGAACGATGATCAATGGAAACCATATCAAATGTCATTTCGGTTTATGCATATGTGATACACCAGCCAGATCGTTCATAAAAGGTTGAGCCATAGAATCACGTCAAAAAATATAATGTCTTTTAGTATCCATCCTGCAAAATCATTTTAAAATATTTTCGTTGCTTCTTTGTAATAGGTGTTGTCAATTTTAACCACGAGTATGGCTGTCAAAAATGTATGGCAGGAGGCGAATATTACCTACAATCACATCGAATGAGCTTCCCAAAATGTGACGGTATACGACGTACCGATGAAATGTTTAGAAACCGCATTCAACCACAACACCACAAAGATAAGTCTTTAATGGAGAAATTAAATATCGACATGGTGTCGCAATTTCCAACATCCGATCCTCTACATCTACTAGAATTAGGAGTAATGAAAAAATTATTAGTTTGTTGGGTATATGGTGCGAAAGGTTATCGTTGCAAATGGAGTAAACAGAAAACAAATGACGTTTCAAAACTTCTTGAAAAATTCAACAAGCAGATGCCGAATGATATTCATAGAGCAATACGAAAACTTGATTCATTGAAGTATTGGAAAGGCGTTGAATTTCGAACAGTTTTACTCTATGTCGGAATGGTTGCTTTTAAGGAAGCCTTAAGTATCGAAGAGTATCAACATTTTCTTACACTCTGCTCTGCTGTAATCATATGTTCATGCGAAACATACAAAAGATATATTCCTGCAGCCAACAAAATGTTTAATACATATGTTATGGACCATATAAATATTTACGGAAGAGACAAAATTGGTAGTAATTTACATAATCTTATACATATCACTGAAGATATGACCCGGTTGAATATTTCCAATTTGATTCAAATGAGTACATACAAGTACGAAAACTGTCTACGCATGATGGGCCTTCGTTTGAAACATTGTAACCTACCTTTGGAGCAAATCACACGCAGGATAATAGAAGCGTCAGTAATACAACAAGAATGTGCAAATAATCCCGCAGAACTTCTTCGTAATGATACTTCTAGTTTCATACCTCACTTTACTAGTGGTTCGTTTTCTGGAAAAGCGTATTGTAATATTACAATTAATCCGGATGTAATGCTATCTAATAAAAGGCACGGTGATCAATGGTTTTTATCCCGAAATAATGATATCATAAAAATGAAAGATATAGTTAATTTTGGAGCAACGTTCAAAATATGTGGAGTTCAGGTTAAAAGCATAGAGCCATTTTTCACAACACCTCTAACCTCTTCAAAAATGTTTATTTATAAGTCAAACGGCGAAACAAGTGACGAAACGCAACTGTATAATGTAAATGACGTTAAGGCGAAATTAATTTGTTTGTTTGACCAAGGTAACTTCGTATTTATGCCGCTTTTACATACTTTGGAAAGTTTGTCATGTTAATTTAAAATTAGTAAAACAATTTTCACATTATGTGAAAGGCTCTTGTATTTGGGAATTTTTTTTTATAAATAAATTAAATTATAAATGATTCAGCAGTCGTCAATCGTTTTTCTCTTCCTTCCTTCTTTTCTGTTCTATGTAATCCTGCAGGTTCTATCTAATCTATGACACTACTTGGCATACTCATGCCTTCGACCAATCCATGAAGTGCAAAACATCTGCAAATTGAAATATTAAAAATACGGTTAATCAATTCATTGAAATATTTTGTGAAAGTTATTTTAAAATCAAAATAAACCTTTATTGCTCCAAAGAATATGGTTGATTTGTTATCGATTGATTATCTTCGATTCCCATGACTGATTCAGCTTCTCGAACTCCCTTAAAAAACGATGATATTGGTCGCAACAACAACAACTTAACAACATCATGACTCGATTCGAATGCGATGGTTTCATTAATATCAGCTACACCATTATTATCCGTTCCGAAGAAGTACAGTTGAACGCGTTTCTTGTTTTTTGTGAAATTTCGAATAATTGCTGGCCATGGACTATACCCTTTCATTTTTCCCAATACGACTTGACCAATGTTCAGTTCAATTTTCTGGTTCGATGATTTGCATTCACGCCAAGCTACATCAATTAGTTGATTGAGTGTTTTGGGCTTTGATATGACTGGCTGCGATATACTTTCAAGAAGAATTTTGTTCAATTCCACTTTTAGTCCGATGTTAATCGTTTTCAAAGCATTCAAATTAATACTTTTTTTTTCGATAGTGAATTTTTCGTCACAAATTTTTATATTCAAATTGAACTCTTTCTTTGAGTTAGCAGCTTCATGCAGCACAGCGTCGTTTAAACGTTTCAAATTCACAACACAATCTTTTATTTTGAAATTGCTGCCTTTTCTTTTTATGGTTGTCTTTTTCTTTGATTCATTTAACCTTTTATCAATTTTTGCCATTTTTGTTATTTTAAATGTGCAAAAAATAAATTATAAAATACCTTTATTATAAATTGACCACAGGAATTTTTTTTAGACGTTATTCGACAGTAGAATAGACAGTATTCTGCAGAAGTGTTACATATTTTAAAAACAAACGTCATCCCAATGAATAATATTAAAACATGTTTTTAAACACTCGAACTGTTATTGTGATTGAATGCACCATAAATATGTTCTTTTGTTCTTTGGGAACGTACTCAACTGCGGCAATACTCCAGCATTGACATTTGTTCAGGATCAGGTGCAAAAGATCAAAATTTATAAGTTGCTACCAATTGTGTAAAAGTGTTGAATGTATGTACATTGTACAAGTATAAATTATAATTTTAATTAGTCAGTATAAAAAGGAATATACAAAAAAATTAAAATTTTCGAGGTTTGTATAATTTTATATTATTTCTGGTTTGAATTTTTGTCTTGTTGTTCAATACTGCAGTATTCATGAATACGTATTTTTAACATAACCTCAATATTTTGAGTGACTTGACTATTTAATGATTTGTATCGAAAGCTATAATTACTATAGTAGTGTATATAAAAACCAATTTATTTCACATAGAAACATGAGTTCGGTAAAGAGTCAAGAAGTTCCTGCAGAAACAAATTTGGATGAGAATCATTCCCGAAAGCGAAAGCGACCTTCCTTTTTTGGTGAATGTGGGGAACTGTCAGATCCAGAGGAAAGAGAAAATATTTATTCCGATAATTCGATGGAAGATGCGAATTACGTTCCAGATTCTCCAAAAGTGATAGCAAAAGTTAAACGACTAAAACCTCTACCCAAAAATCTTGTAATGCAGTCCACTAGTACCGCTGTATCGGCCAACTTTGACGATTTGTTTAATGATATCGATAGGTCAGTGAATGCATCAAAGCCAATATTGGCATCTATAGAATGTAATAACGTTGAGACTAACGCTGCAAGAATAAATGATGAAAATGTGATTATTGACGTTTGTTCAAAATCTGATGAACCAATAAATAGCGACTGTAGTATTGTATTAAAGGCAACAGAATCACCAATCGAAAATAACATTACCGTTACAAATGCTAGTCAAAAACCCGATGATATTGTTATTGTTGACTCTTGTACAAAAACTGATGTACTGCCAACAAGTAGCAATTATGATAAGGCATTTCAAGAGTTATTGAATATATCCAAACATATTCTAGCAAGGATAAGAGCTCTTGAAGGAAATTTACTTAAGATATCTGTCGAACATATGAAGTCAAACAGATCAGGAAATATGTTCCAACCCATGCATGAACAGAATCAAATTTTTCTCAAAACAATTGGTTTGCCATTTGAAGAGGATTCGAAATTTGAATTATTTGAACAAAGATTGGCGGATTCAAAATTTCAGAAATCTGTGGTGAGTTAAAATTCTTTTAAACACTGTCATTATGCAGAAGAACATGTTATTTTGTTTTCAAAGCTATATTCATATTTTTCATTATTATTGAATCTAATTAATGAATCACAGGTAGATGCGTTCAGTACGATTCCAGATCCCGAGAATATTTTTCAAAGTAGTAGTACCGACAAGATTTTGAAGAAATTCATTTATGCAATTATGAGTAAAGAATTACTTTCATATTACACATGGACGGGAAAAACCAGAAAAGGTTCTGAGAAAAAAAAGTCATTTCAAGATCTTGTGCATATCAATAAACTTCTGCATGATCTTGTTTTAACAAAAGATTCACGCTTCAATCTCCAGATAATGGAAAAAGTTATGGTATCGAAGGTTTTGAAATACGCCTATACGTATAGGAAAACAATAGTTTCACCTCCAAATGAAAACCAAAAAATATATGATACTGTGGCCAACCCTCCAATGGAATCAACTGAATATCTATGTGAGTTGAGGCCTACAACGGCAAACAATAGTGAAAAAACATTACCGTGTGGGTCAAATGTATTCGTTCCTGCAGTGACAAATGGTCAACAGATCGGCACACATCGAAACCTATCGAATAGCAATTCTACGACTCATTCGTCAACTGATCGTCAAACTGTAAATTCAACAATTATTCTGGACAGGTAAAAACACCATGGTGACATATATTTGAAAAGAAATTTATTATCAGTAAACTGCGACGAGAATAATTGCTACATAAGTTACTTTTTCTCTCGTTTTTAAGTAATCATAATGTGATAGACAAATCAAATGGTTCTACAAAATCTTCAACGGCACATGCAAGCGTGTTCTTTCCTGCAGTTTCAAATGACCATCAGAGCTCAAATTATGTTCCAGAACAGTTTTTGAACTATAATTTACAGTATAATCCGAGAGGTTATGAAAAAATAGATTATCATTTCCCACATATAGCTGGGCAACAAGCAAGTTCAATGGATAAGCGCATGCACGGCAATGCTAGGTAAACTTTTGAGTTTTTTTTAATTATAAATTCCATTTTCAGAAAAATTCCTTCAGGTTATATATATGAATCGTTGAAAGAATTGCTATTTTTTTATAATTAGAATTGCTTATATTCGTGACTTCAAGAAATTTGTCAAAATAGAACTGCAACTTGACCATACATTTTTTATATGAAAATGTTGCTCTTTTACTTAAACAATTTTCTTGAGCTCACGAATATTATAACCGATTCATTTGTTGGTCGTAAAAATAATTTTGTTATTTTTTCGCCGCAACGATTCATATTTAAAAATGTTTATAAAAAATATAGAGATAATTTGAATAAAATTTATTTTTTTTTACAGCGAAAATTCTCGAGATGTAAAATGGTTTAACATGGCACAAATGTATCGACATAACATACTTTAGACTGTAGAGTCTAAATAAGAGAATATAAGTGGCATTGTCTAGAAAAAGATAAAAACGATTGACAACCACTAAATCAAATAGTGTCCATTCTGTATTTTTTGCATAAAAAATTATATTTATCACATACCATCATACCATCAAAAAATAAAAATAAAATTGATGACTTTATTTGTTTGAATTTTATTCAATTTTTAAATCATAAATATACATTGAATATAGATATTTCTTGTTTCTTATTAATTTAACTTGAATTACTATAGAACGTTAAACAAAACTTCTTTCTTCAATTTTATGGGTTTTACGTATACGTTTTTTTCGTAAAAATAATATTTATATTTTTGAACTTTATTTTGGAGTGTCGTTTTCATATTATTTTTATGGAACAATTATCTAAGGCAAGAAAATAGTGTGAAATATAATAAGTATGATGAACAATATATAAAGAGTCAAATTAATTAATCGCTAAAATTTAATAAAATTAATTTTTTTTATAAAGAGTATTTACTTTTCAGCGCTTATTTTCGAACACCATTTTCATTCTTCGTTTTGCTGTTGTACTCATCAGCGATTTCGACCATATCGATCGATTTCTGTCTGCAGGATTGTAGGTGCGAAATTTTGTAATGGTGCGAGGTGATCTCGTGTCTTCTTTTCATATGTTTTTTTCACGCATATTTGTGGATGATTTGCCATGAATGTATTTAGATCGAATTTGTTGGAATCGTTGCGAGTAATTGGTTGTAAGTAGTCAAGGGCTTGTGCGTGTAGGTCATGGCTGTTGTTAGAGTTGAGTTGAACTTGGTTTGCGTTTGCTGATTCAAGTGAAGACAGATGGAACGCATTGAATGGGTTATCGTTGATAATCAATGCTTGCAAATTACCCGTGTTATGGTGATTTTCTTCATACATCGTTAACATGTCATCATCTACGACATCAACTTCAAGTGTACCACCATCCATCTCCAATGCATCATATTCAACATTATTTCTACTGGTTTCTTGCGATGCAATGAAATGTTTGGCATTTGCATGGGTATCACGTGAATATACTGGACGTTTTGTTGATGGTATGTGCTCTTTTGTGTATGTGACCAACCTAGATGCAACTCCTTCATGACGTCGTACTTTGTGCACATCATGCTCGCGACATTGGCAAACAAATATAAAATGGGGGATCAGCGCCATGTACTTCTAGTGTAAATAATAATTACCATGAAATTCATACACTAGATGGCGTTGTTGTAGTTTATATACAATATCAAAAAAGAAAAGAAAAATAATAAATAAAATATTCCGGAATTAATTTTTTTTATTTCTTTATTGAATAATTCATAAATATCATATATGATATATTTTTTCTTAAGCAAACAATTCCGGGAACAATACACACTTTCTTTTTTTTCTTTCTCTCTCTCTCTCCCTTCGTCTCATGCGCTCATTCGTCTCGATGACACATCATTTAGTGAATTTATCACAAAACATTGTCATTCATTACTTAACCTAAAAAGGAGCATAAAGGAGCTATTTACCGGAACAATTAGTCAATTCAAACAAAATTCAGGTCCCAGATCCCAGGTGCATTTTCATTTGAAATTAAAAATATATATAAATCTACTAATACCAACTAATACCGTATGACTTCCGTTGATTAGCTCATTAGAGATAAAGCAGTGCATCGATCAAAGAATGAAGTTGACATCCAAACCATTTGCGGCCAGAGAAATTAATTTAGCCGGCGTAATTTATCGTGATTAAAAGGCCGACACATTTCACATCGATCTTGGAGAACAATTTTTTGGAACACTACAGTTACTGGGTAAGTGCCACCTGTTCCGTTCACTCTTTTATTTTCTATTTTCTCGATTTTGGTGTCTCATATCAAATTGAAGTGAGAGAGAGAGAAACATACATGAATCCAATCAATATATATTGGAAAACCGGATAAACTGTAGCAATACAAATGTATTGTAAGCCTTTATGTCAAATCAAAATACGCGACTTCATATAAACTTGACACACCAAACATATTACAATTGTATTAGTCCAGTTTATCCGAAATACATTCAAAATGAGTATAAACTGGTATATAGTGTCATTTATGTCAGATATTTGCAAATTGAGGTTATGTTTATTTTGTGTGTAGGCATATCTTGTGGAATTACGACACGACGTGTACGGTGCCAAAGAAATTTCGTTGAATTCCAATCACATCTATTGAATAGATCGAGACTCTCGATTTCGAATGAGCGTGCGAGAAAGAGAAAGAACTTGAACAAAAAAAAAACACGACATTTAGTGAATATCAACAATTTTGCGAACGTACAAAGAACTTGCAAGCGGCCGGTGTATATTTATTTTATTCAAACATATAGTGACTGAAAAGAGAATAAATATTATACGAAGCGCGAACATAATGGCTTGCTGAAAAGTCAACAAGCAGCAAAAATTGACGAAAATGTCAATCGAATGTTTAACTTTGTAATGTTTATATTGTAAACCAATTGATTTTCGAATTAATCATTTAATGTAACATTTTTTTTCATCTTCTCTCTATAGGCGGACAGCGAAATTGATTTACG